AACACAATAAACCATTGTCCACAAAAATCAGACTCTTGCTTGCCATATGGTTTTGTAATCAATCTATACCAAAATGTGCTCTTAAGTGGCTACCCATTGTGCACAACATCAGTGTCTACTCATCCATCCTACTCACTGTCAGGACACACACACACACATGCGATCTCTGACACACAGATGTATGACATCCTTGCCTCATTAGGACCCATTGTTCACTTCCAAACTCTAGAGGCACATGGAGTGTGCAAGGTCTTTGCTTTTCAAAGGCTTTTTTTTTCTTTTATAACAAGTTCCTAAGAAACATTTAAAGGAGTAACACTCCCAAAAATGAAAATTGTTATTATTTGTGTTCTTTATGGAACAAATATTCCATAAAGTATATTTTTTGTGATGTGAATGTGAAGAATGTAAAATTAGTTGCAATTAATCAGAAGTAGAAACAGATATTTTTTTCCGTATTGTGATGTACATTAGAGTGAAACGGATTATCGAAAACGAAAAAATATAGGGCAGATCGCTGTAGCGCCTCAGTTTAAGCTGCGTGTGAACCGATCATCTCTTCCTCTTTACTAGTTAGCACGAAATAAACATTTACATTTAGTCATTTAGCCCCGTTTTTATCCAAAGCGACTTACAAATGAGGACAATAGAAGCAATCAAAACCAACAAAAGTGCAATAATATGTACTGTAAGTGCTAAGACAAGTCTCGGTTAGCCTCACGTAGCAAGGTTTTTTTTTAATAATAATTAAAAAGAAAAACAAGTAGATAGAATAGAAAAAGAATAGAGCATGCTAGAGTTAGAGGGTCAAATGAAGATGGAAGAAATGTGTTTTTAGACGATTCTTGAAGATGGCTAAGGACTCAGCTGCTCGGATTGAGTTGGGCAGGTCATTCCTCCAGCAGGGAACAGTTAATGTAAAAGTCTGTGAGAGTGATGGCACTATAATGCACCGTTCACTTGCAGAACGCAAGCTTCTAGAGCTCACATAATTCTGAAGTAGTGAATTTAGGTAAAGGGGTGCAGAGCTAGTGGTGGTTTTGTAGGCAAAACATGAATGGACATCAGAAGGTATCTTGTTTCAACCGTGGAAAGATGTCAATACACACAATTTTTCAAGTTCAAGTACACCGTTGTTAACCTACTGTCCTGTCTGGATTGTTTGTCACACAAAATTGCAGATTCTGCATTATGATTGGTCAGATCGCCTGTCAATCAAACTCCCGGCGATGGATCAACTGAAGGCATTATTCCCTTCATCATGAAGGCAAGAAAAACATTCCTCAAATAAACACTAAACACACTCCTTTAACACGCTCAAATGGCTGGGAAGAGTCCCACTGCATGCCCTCTCATTTAGATGGGGATTGAACTTTTTTTTGGTTGTGTAAGAGAGCAGGGCTATTGATTTGACACATTTACTTAGTACAATGAATTATGAAATTAAAATTGCAATAAAAATGGATTTAATGACCCATGTAAAGAGCATTTTGCAAGTCTGCAGTCAGCACAGCTCCAGCTGTGACAGCAAGACCACTCAGGTCAAACTAGGCCAAAAATAGACCGTTTCTCCACTGACACACATCAAATTTGGCACAACCTACTGCAGAGACTAAACTAATGCATTATTTCGACAAACAAAATGATCAAGTCTGCAGGCACACACCCAAAGACTGTAAATAATAAACAGTGAGCGGTGAGGTCAACTGAGCGAGTTGTTGATCCTGGAGTCATCCTATAGCAGGAGTAAACAGCCCAATTCCTCTTCCTGCCCTCTGTCCACAGTAAAAGCATCTGTTTGACCTCTGACCCTGACCTGACAGAACCAACTTCCTGACCCACACGGACTACTGGATGTGTCCATGCCAACGGCCATCATCTGAAATAACAAACACTGCTCCACACAACTAACACACAAACTCAGCTACAGTACGGAAGAAAAGAGAAATGTGAACGCTGCATTTAAACAAACATTTATAATGATTTATAAAAGAGTTGTTTTATTCAATGGAAAGATTGTCTATTAAAATGTATATATGGGGGAATATATAGGGGCTGACGGTCACACGTTGACTCTTCTGAATATTCATCAGGCTTTACTTTTGAATGTCCTGAAACTGTCCTTACTTTTTTACTGACCTGAAATAAATAAATAAATAAACAAACATGCACTCTGCCCTTTTGCATGCCCCAATATGAATCTACTATGAAATAGTCTACGTTAGGGATTTCAGCAACATTTAAACTGAATTATGAAAAACAAAACAACATATATTAAAAATATGTATTCAAAAATGTTCAAAAGTATTTAAAAGTGCTCCTTTTTATATCATCCTGAGATTCGGACTGGTGTGTCATCAGTTTTGCTACTTACTGTAATGTTCACACATGGATAAATGTGTGCTATTTGAGCTCATATTGTGATGCTTGAGGTAATTATATTGGGTGTTTGTGTTTTCTGAATGGTTAAACCTGTGCAAAATGAGGGCATTTTTGTGTAGATTTTTGCAGAAAACACTGTGCAAACTGGAACGTGTGTGAAAACAGATAAAATGTGTTAAATGTTTTGAGAAATGTGTCTTTGTTTCGTAAAACTGAATGAATGGTTTGGAAATGGCAATCGAGAAAAACTATAATCTTTATATATCACAGTAATGTGCATGGTAGCCGTCTTGTGGCTTATAAAATGCTACTCATTCAGTGTGAACTGTTTAAAAATGACCCTCAATGACCCTTAATAAAGTGCTTTTGAGCTCATTACTGTGGGTTCAATCCTTCAGGCACCAATGCATATGTCTTCCATGAGATCATCTGCAAATACACACGACAACACAGCTTAAAAACGAAACAACTGAGGACGTCCACCTGGTCCTTTTCAAATGTTGTGACACTTATGTAAATCACAGTTGTCATGTTTTTTCTCCGTGGCTGTGTGGCCGCCTCAGGTCTGGGTATTGCAGGTCTGAGAGGGTGATGGGTCTGGGTCACCTGTCTCAGATTTAATGCCTTCCATGCCAGAAACAAAATACAGAATTTAGATATTCAGTGAAGTAATCTTATGACAAGATGGTTTCTTGTAAAATGACAGTAAGCATGACAGGAAATGAGTGCCAGTGACTGAGCAGGAGGAGACAAGAGGAACAAAAAAAATGGAAGAGTAAGGAGTTCAAAAGGAGGAAGAAATGGGAAAGCCACACAGTTGTTCCATACGATCGGACGTCCGCTACACCTCATGCAGGAGAGGGGATTTTTGTCTTAAGCGCTCATAAATAATCACAGCGTTTCCTACAGGATGGTTTATGAGCTTTCCTTACTCTGCTCAAATCCCCAGATTGATTTCCAAAGGAATGTCTCAACGTACTGTGTATTTCATATCTGTCGTTTGTGAAACCCATGGTTCATTTTACATAAGCAAGATTCCACATAATAATCCGAAGGGCACTACGTAGAGAGGAAGTGAGTGAACAATGATATATCACTAAATAATTTAGTGTTTTATGTATGAATGTACAGTTATCTTTCAAAATAAAAACAAATATTTGTACAAATTTGAGCTCAACGACTCATTTGGATTATACTTGTATAGAAATATGTATGTGTTGCTTAACTATAGACTCCAGACAGATGCTGATTTCTGCAGCAGATGCTCTTTGTTCATCTCAGTCACACAAAACACATTCAGTTTTCCTCGAAATGAATAAAAATGCACTTGCAGGGAAATACAAACACCTATTCTTATTCCAACAATTAAATCATACATTAAATAATTCAGATCTGCTTTATGGATTTAATCTCACTTTATTAACCAATGTTTTTGCTATTGATCGTGGATGGTTAAGTTCAACTGTAAAAATAACCACAAACAAATAGTTAAGCATTGTGCCTGTGTTTCAATTATTTTTTATAACAATAATTGAGAGGATTTGACCTCATTGAAGAGGCAGAGATAGAGACGAGATTTTTTTTTTTTTTTTTTTTTTTTTTAAC